GGTTCCTTATTCGTGTAAGAAATGGCCGAATGTGAGACGCGTCTATTCACGCTGAGTCGAGCCGATCTACAAATGGAACGTGAATGCAAACCACGCTGAATGGTAAACGGCGTAACGTCAGGGGGATGAGTTTAAAGCAGTAGTCGCGGAATCCTCGATTTACTTCACGCGACGAGCAATTTGACGGAGTGCGCCATAAAGGGAAGTGCCTCAAGTTCGAAGGAAGGCGTCCTTGCTTGAGCAATTTTGATAATAGCGACCCGGGCGACATCGGATATCATTGTCGATCAGATCTATTCTTATTCTAGAGAACACCGAAAATATTTCAGTAGCTTGCCATGCTCTTCTGTGATTTAAAAATAGAAAAATAAAATATTTTATTTCTGAAGTATCACATTTCCTTACTTTTATTTCGCGATCGCAGAATTATGTTGATTGTTGTTGGTTAACTTAAGACTGATTTTAGAAAAAATTAATTTTAAAGAAATTTCAAAGAAATTGAATTTCAAAGAATTAATAAAGTCTAATTTGACGTAAAAGAAAATGCCGAACCAAACGCGAGAAACGATGAATAAATCAGCATTTTAACAAACGTGAGCACAATCTCAAGATTGATTCGTATTGAGCCTCTCGAGCTAGTTTAATAATACAGGCTCCAAGCGCATATATTGATTACAGCCGCCTAACAATGAACGCGTCGGTTTCGCAGTCGTTGTTCCATTTATGCCAATTTCCTCCGAAGCGGTTCCAAGCTGCTTCGTTACTGCTCATTGAGTGTGTTCCAGTAATCTTATTAGTCGAACCTTAGTCCGGACGCGCGCGCCGGCGACTGGAACGCTCTGATAATTCTACTTGGCTTTCAGTGCACACGCCTCGATTTCACATTCATACTAACGTATTCACAATCTCCATTCCGCTTGATATTATTTATTAGAGGTTTAGAGGTTTAAAAATTAGCTTATTTTTTGTTTATCGCGTCTCATATGTGGAATAAATTTTTATTCAAAATAACAGCGCAGCAAAAATAGTTAGTTGAGAAATATGAAAAATAAAATTTGTTTACGTACTAAAGTTGGTCCCATGTCTTTTAAATAATTCAGTTTAATTAGACGACACGAATAAAAGATGATTCGTTTACGACAGGATGCGTAAAGAATTGCGCAATTTCACGATACGTAAACAAGAATGGCGAAATATTTTTACAAAACACGAGGGAATTCTTACGAATGCTCCAGGTTTGTGCGACCCATTTTTCTCCGGTGCCGTCACACTCGAATTTTTTACAACAACGGCACAACTTCGGAGCAGTTTGCGGCCGCTTAAATACGTGACTTCGTGCCACGAATAACTGATCCTGCGAAAACAGAGGAATAAAATGTTCTCGGAGGACGGGACGGTACGTTACGAAGCGCGATGCCATCCCAGGAACTAATTTCGACCCTTCAAATCCTCCTTGAGCTATCCATCGCTGAATCCACAGACAGATAAAAAAAATAAAGACGACTTTCTCTTTCTCTCTTTCCGTGCTTTTGCGCGAGCGTCAGAGATAAATTATATTAAAATCCGTCTTAAGTGTGAAATTGAATCCCGATTTTTGAGGACAATAGTGGCTGCCGTTTGAATAGCTTTCATTACAATAAAAGGATTAGCCCGGCAATTTGCAAATAATTATCGAATCTACAAAGAAATTTCAAATGGCGCTCAGAGCAATTATGTTTATTAATTAGAGCGTTTTTAACTAAAATGCGACGATATTTCGCAAATTTTGCTCATCTATAAAATAATTAAAACAGGAAATACTCCGAATGTGCTAAAGTAAGTCCGCAATCGCAATTTTTTTAATTGAAATTTGTGGAATTTTAAAGAGGAGGTAGCGCGTTACTGTTATAAGAATAAAGAAAATCGACGAGAAGCTAATCACCCGCGATAAAAGGGATTACGCGCTTCTGTATAAAATTACGAATAGAACGATAAAGAGGCTCGAGATAATACGCCGGTGCGGCAGATTTTCGAATGTCGCGAAAGGATTACGCTGTAATCCACTCGGTAGTTAAGGCTTATCGTTCCGTAGAAAAAAAATTTCGCAACTTGTAACTGCGGACACATAATTGCGAAGGTGTTTGTGAAAAAAATTTGCGATGTTTAAACATTTGCATATGAAAATTTTGCATTTTTAAATTCTTCAAGTTTTTATCTCACGATAGTTCATTGCGGAGAGTTCCGCGCGAGGCTCACGTAAGAATAACACGCGGACTCGACACAGCGGCGAATACAGAGTTGCGCGTGAACGTGCGTGAACACTTGAAATCTGCACGGCAATTCTAACCACCGTAATATAACGTTCGCCCGCGCAAGCACGGATCTACACTTGCGGCAGTCCAAATAGTTAACCGCCACCGGTCGGGTAGCTCTATTGATTTGGTGGTCCCGACGTGACATAACGCGGTTTTGCAGATCCCGACGCGGTGTTTCCCAAAGTGTGAAACACACTGTACGTTAATTCGTCCCGTGACAACTTTCCGATGGGCGATAACTATTGGGAATCGAGCGGATAAAATTGCCGATCGGAAGCGTTAGAGCGGAATATCAGATTTTAACTTCGTGTAAACTTTTTGCCGTCGTTAGCTTGCGGGCTCCGACCCGTGTGTTATTTCTAGAATTACAACGAAATGTCAGTAGTAACACAGCTACTTCCTTTGTCCAAACGAGAGGTAAAATTCACTTTGCTAGCTAGTAACGACTTCAAAGAAAACTCAGTTAAGTGACACCACGATTTTACGTGCATTTTTACGCTTCTGTCAAATATCATTGCTGCGCTACGCATCACGCGCAAGTCTTCCATTATTGCGACGGAAGAGGGACCGATTTACATCGATTCGAATAGAAAATTGTAATTAGATCGAACGAGTACCGACACCTGCGCTTTACGACAACATAAAATTCGCCGAAATTATATGAATAACTGCTTTTTCAGCGCGTCGTCGCCGCGATATTTTATTTTTACGATCGCAACCATGCAACGAAACTCGTCGGCCATGCAACTTCTCTCATACGTTTGCGAAATAAAAGGAACAGCCTTGGGGAGATGGCGCCGACCCAGGAGAAATTATGCGGAATACCCACGGTTTAGCGACTAATAAGCGCACAAGATTGGGACATAACAGTCGGACGGATTTGTGAATAATAAAAATTATGAAGAAATTATGCGAGTTTCACGACCGGTATTTAATTTCGCAAAATAAACAAAAAAAACCCGCAATTTTTAATTAAACTTTTTCTTTGTGACATAAAAATAAAAAAAAGTTAATATTTCAGTGAAATAAAATTAATTATTAATAAATTTTTTGCTGCATATCATTCAAACTATTTAATTTTTACAAAATTTTTATTTTTGTCTATGTTGTGTGCAAATCAATATTATTAAAGTTTAATCTGGCTAATAATAATACTACAAAGTTAAATTTGAGCACTTGGAAGTTTAGTTGAATTAAACTTTGATAATAATCTAACAAGCAACTGTAGCAGCAATCAACTTTAACCTTTAGTCAATAACGGTAATATCGAAGTTTATACAATAACAATAAAAAGAATATTTCTAAAATTATCTATCGTTGTACTCTTAGGTAATGGAAACTTTACCGTCTCGCCGTGTTCTCTCGGTAAAATTTCATATTGAAAGGTTTTATCCAATTTCGTAGATTATGTTCAGTCCAGCGCACTATCATAGAAAAATATTCTCAAGACAAGAACTTATCTTTGAAGGTAGGTCGATCGTTATTGCACACTTGATCGGAGAACTCGATATTGCAAGTTCCTTCAATATCTATCGATCCTGCAATTCCAAGTTCGTCCGAATCAGTCAACCTCTTCTATCTAATAATAAATGGCGCGTTATGTTAAATGATATTCAACCGAGGGAATAATCAGATAGCGAGAAAAATCATACTACTAATAATAATTTAGAAAAAGAACTGTTTCTCCGACTTAATTCTACAAATACGGCGCACTTCCGTAACGAAAATATATTGCTGGCACGATCGGCGACACGGAAACTTAATTAAACAAACAGATAAATAAAACAAACAAAACTCGGCGCATGTTCAATCTCAAAGGATTAATTTATCTTTCGGTGCGCACAGTTGGTCGTACGCGCCGTTTTTTTTTTTTCCCCACTTTTATTGTTTTTATATTTGTAATCCGTCGTTTTCACTGCCGGTCGAAATGCACATGTATGTGCGTGCACCTATCGATCGACGTTTGCATAACGAGGTGCCGTTATCGTGCGACGCGACGCTATCAACGTGCACGATCATTGCGGTGTAGATGTAGCTTTAGTTGCAGCAGCCACTTTGTGGTGCCATTGACGTCAGAGCGGATCTCTAATCACTGCTTGCATTTCATACACCGAACAATAGCATCGTTTTACCGGGAGGAAAGACGAGACGTTTTCATTCTTGATATAGATATCTTAAAGAATAGGTGCATAATTAATGGAATTTCAATTTAAATTCATTACGCGTGGGTTTCATTTATGCGACATTACCAAACAATGTGATAATAGAATAAAATTCTGTTTTTTGCAGAATTGCAGTATTACAAATAAAAGAGTGCTTACATAAAAAAATTCATTGCGCGTTGACGGCATTTACTATATATAAAAGCAAGTACAGCACGCAAAATCCATATCACATATTAGTTTTTTTACGAATATTTTTATAACAAATAATTCACAATTTCTGTTACACATTGTTACAATAAAAAAAACTTACAATGCTATTTTATTAACAAAGTTAACATGGTTTATCAAAAATATTTTTTTTTGAATATTGTTATAAACATGTAGTACGCAAAATAATATAATGACATAATAATATACAAAATTAATTTTAATTATTAATACGTATTATTATTAATAAAACAAACTTTGATTGTATGTATATAATTACGTGTTAAATGACGCAATTAAATGTACAAAATTTTTATAATAACTTTATCGATGAAAAATATGTTGCAGAATTTATATTTTCTTTAAGCTTTTGTCTGTTGAATATGAATGCATTGTCTGCTGTTCCGGAAATGTTTCATGGATCGCTGTCATCTTTGCCCGCGGAAAACCTACGTTATAAAAATACTTTATTAAGATTGTAGATAAGTCGGAATATGTATATTGAATCCGATTGTTGATGAAAAAGCAGGTTATAAGAACGGCACATCATAATCCATTTCTAATGCGGTTTCTGCGCCGATGTGACTATAAAATTTCTTTACGGGATCGTAAAGCGGAATTGAAATCGCGCAATCGATATCTTATAAGTATGTTTGTGGCCTGAACTGAAATGACGCAGACTGTAATTATAGTATATATATATATATCTATATAAATTCTTGGAAAAATACGTTTTTACATTACGCTGTATAAAATAGTGATGTAGACATTTAAAAAAATTGCATTTTCAAGCTTTAAAATGTTCAAAAAGTAAGAGATCCAATAACTTTATATCAAATTAAAAGCATAGAAACTTTAATAAATTTTGATAACCGAAAATTACCTCTAATTTAAAAAAAACTATTGAATCCAAAATTTTCGATCTCTAGCCTTCGAAATAGCAAACAATTGCAAAATTAATTTGATCTAAAAACTTGAGGATTCTTTACATATTTGCTTTTTATAATGCTAAAATCGGGAAAGCGAATCATTTATAAAAATATCTAGTTAAAAAATATCACAGTTATCGAGAAACTTTCACACACACACACACACACACACACACAACGTCGCCTTCCAATTTTTCGCATGAGCGGCTTAATAAATACCTTTATCATCAAACATGATTTTTGACGTTGCACTCCTTCGCATGAGGTTCTTTCGCCGTTAGGTTCAGTCTGGTCCTCATATTGAGGAGACGTGCGGAAATCCAACTTTCAATAAGCCGGCAAGACCTTATTAGATGCTTCCATCCTGCTCGCAAAGCAATTCAATTTACCGAGAGAGATTCACCGTTGCGGAGATGATGGAAGAAAATCGGAGATAGTAAACGAATGGAAAGAAAAAAATTATTGCAAGCGTTCGATGACCAGAAAACCGGAAAAAGGCCGCAGAGATTTTGGTATTTGCGAAAATTTCATCCTCTAAGCCGTACCAATCATCTCGCCTACAATGATAAAGGTATTTATTAAGCCGTCTGTACGAACAAATTGGAATACGATATTGAAAGTTTTTTTTGGAATATCACTGAAGACATATAAAATTTATTTGATTTTTTTTTAATACAATGTAAACTTTTATAACAAACGATGTGTGAAATAGGGGTGCAATATGAGAACAATTATATCTATCTACAAGGTAGATATTTACAATCTATATTTTCCACCGAGTAAATGAACAAATTTCTTTCTGTTTTCTCTTCATATTGATCTTTTTATAGACATAATCTCTTTATTTTAAAAAATTTAAACGAATTATTAACAACTGAAAACTCTTTAATTAATATTATGTATAATTTATTCATAACAACAGGAGAAAAGAACTTGAAATTTATATTTATTGCGACGAAATTCATCTACGAAATTGCGTAATTGAGCCGACTGCAAATTTGACGACTGAGGAAAAAGGGAGTACTTTCTCATAAGAAAATACAATCACGAAGAGAAATAAAGGGGCGAAGAAAAGAGTAAGAACGACACGTATATATGTATATATATATAGCAAGCGACGAAAAGAGAAGGAAAGGATTTGCGGATTCTATTTGCGCGCTGGGTGGTATCGCGTATACTGAAAATATCAGGGCTCTACGTGTTTATATGTATGCGTGACGAATACACGCGCGCGAATTGTTGTACAGCGGATAGGAAAAGCAATTTCCACCCAACGGCGATGCTGAATATGTCCACCATTCGAGCTACTTTCCTCTCGACTGTTCGGAGTCTCGTCATCCGTTCCTCCGCGTCCTGAATAAACGCCAAAGGCGCACAAACATTGCAAGGAATCGTAGAAATTAATTACACCTCCGTAGACTGGCTCGCTAATTAAACTACCAACCATCAATGAACATACTCGAGCAACTGAGTAGTCTAATTCATCCTTTTTTTTTAAACGCTCGAATTACTGTCTGCGAATATTGTGATTACAATCTTCCACGGTGAAAAATATAATTACAACCGTTGCATTTGCAGATGATTAAAAAAAATCCTTTTATTCATAGAGATGCTAAGTAATTATGTTTTCGTATTAATTAATTTAACATTTAAGCCGAAATCCATAAATTTTTGGAGGTTAATTAATTAATTTTATTAATTAATTTTATTTTTGCCTCGGGCAATCTGGTTTGTTAGCAATTAATATTCATATAAATTACAAACAATTACTAATGTATCCACATTAATAATAGACATTTTGGAAAATGAGCAGCGATAATAAAACATTGTTACGCCGAGAAACAATCTGATTGCATTCGCAAGGACAGCACAAAGTAAATTAATGGTGTAAGCAAACGTAATTAAACGAGGTAAACATCTAGGTATCGGCTCGTTGATGGGACCACTTGATTCTCGAGTGGCATGTGTACTTTCTTCGTATACCGGTTTGCTTGGTCAACCAATTATTCTTGAACTTCCGAACATCCACCAATTTTGCTCAATAACGCGATCAAATAACTTCGGCAAGCTATTAATTAAACCGAATTTCGATCCGCCGCAACCAATCAGAAGTTAACCGCATCGACCGACAAAGTTTCCAAAATAACGGCAACGCTGCCGCACCGGGCAACATGTATCACTATTTTATATTTCAACAAACGGGAATGGGATAAAACAACGTGCACACGTGCGTAAACCCGGGCAAGCAAACGCACTACGTTTTTCAACTTTGTAGTCTCTCTCTATCTCTCTCTCTCTCTCTCCTCCCCCTTTCTCCGTCTCCCTTTCTGAAAGGGAGTTTTCCACGGAATAACAGTCCACGTTCAAAGAATAAATTTGAGCTATGAGGTTGCAGGTTTCCGGGGAAACCAGCTACTCTAGTAAAATAAAGAGAAATCCATTTAGCTTCTTTCATGAAAATATAAGTAATTGAATTAAACTTTGCTCGCGTCGTGCGATGCACATGTAGCGTTTTCTCGAGTTTGCCGAACCATTTCCATTTCCATCGTTCGCGAAACTCACGGCAAACGTAGTACTTTCAATCAATTAGAACCGAAACTCGTACGTCCTTCTCTTTACGTATAACCGAATAAGTAACCGACTATGTCGCAGATTCAATAAACTGTGCACTGAGTTGGAGATCGATAGGAACTGCCCTCTCGACCTCCGCAGTACTTCCTCAATGAACACGGATGCCTCGCGGCAATGCTGCGCGAAGCAGTGAGTCACATGGAGTCGAAGGGAAATGCAATAACGAAGGAACGTACGTATCGTGAAATGGAATAAATTTCGTGCGGTCGTTCCGTCTCTGCAGCAAATTTGCAGCGGCGTAATGGCCAAAGTAACGTAGAGGAATAAACGTAAATGACCGAGTTACAACCTGCTTTTCGTTCTTTCCAATCGCAAAAGGGTGGTCGTTTAAAATGATCATTTTCTTCTCGTAATATATTTAATTTTTTTTTTAAAGACTATTTACGTCTTTGCAATTAATTTTTATGAGCTAAAGCGAGCTTTTTTTTTTTTAAGCACAATAAAGCCTTGTATATATTTCATAATTATGTCCACCTGCCAACGGCAGATAATTGCGTGCAATGACGGTGGATTCTTTCAAACATTGTTTCACAATCAACCTCGTTAAGCTCACCTTTCATCAAGATTTTCAATTGCCTGTCTACTTCCTTCCATTCGCACGTGTACGGAGTTGGCGTCTTTGCGAAGAAATGATCAAACGTAATTCGAGGATCGTCAGACAGCTTACTTTCCAAAAGAGCTCGCTATAGGAATAGCATTCATTTAATTAAGACTCGGGATTATCTGACACAGAAAGCTTTAACAATAGATAAAAATATTAATTACATTTTTGATAAAAATTACGCATACCTGTAGTACTTCTACGTCGCTTAATTCATACGTTGAAGCATCAGGATTGCGTAGGAGAAAACTAAGATCGTAATTACAGTCAACTGTGCGATGAGAATCGTATTCTTGACAAACGGACGATTGATCCTTGCATTGTATAACTTCAACTGGTTCATCCACCACCACGTAAATTCTGTATACGTTGTTTAGATATGGCATATGCTTGCTTTTCGTACAAATATTCTTAAAATATCCGGGACAAAATATTTCTTTCTACCAAATGTCTCAAAAATAATTAGCTAGTTTTGAACTTCTTTTATATGCATAAAACTCGTTCGATCAAAACTTCAAGTTTGCTTAAACTGCGCTTTTGCAATGTATAAATTTATCTTGGTCAGCGCTGCTTTGAGTTTTGGAAACTTCTAACTTCAGTTCTGACAATTATTAAAGTAGGATTTACCGCGGTATATATGTCAGATTAAGCCCTCCCTTCAGGCTTATGAAACTATAAATAGCCATGTATTCTTGCTCGGAGACTCGCCAATAAATCCTAAACGGTTGTTCGCGACATATTGCCTCGACCTGCTGGTGCATTTACTTATATAACAATCGGAAGAAATAGTAGAATAAGTGCCGACGCTTTTATTAAAAAATAAATTGTAATTCGTAATATTATCATTCCATCCATGTATATATATTAAATTATTGATAAAAATTTGAAATTATATTAAAGTAAAAACATATTAATTTGTTTCGATATTCAAAATTTCAAAGAATTTATCGGTGCTTTCACGAGAAACAAAATATTCATATAAAATAAAATAATGAAATAAACGAGATATTTGATAGGTGAATCGGGTGTTGATTGCATTGAATATCAATTTGTATTTTTTAATGAACGATGACTAAAATGACTAAATGACACATTAGCGAATATTTTTTTGAATCAGCCGCACAATGTGCATAGGAAATTTTTATTTGTTACTACGTAATGAAATAAATCATACCAATAATAAATTTTATATTAAAAATTCGAAACTAATTATATTTAAGCGAATTAATCGCTTTATACAGCTAAAATTAAATTATGTTTGGCAATACATACAAATTTTAATCCACACTGTACGAGAGAATCAATCGATTTTACCATTCTGCATTTTGCATAATTTTACGGAAGCGCCATACATGCATATTATTATGATTTGCACTGATTATTCGCACTCGTACATTTTGTTATACAATATGGAAGATTTCACGCATTATCATCATTAATATTTTGGAACAAAAAATATTAAAATAATATCATAAAAGTTTTAGAAAAAAATCGTTTAATTAATATTGGAAAAGCAAATAATAGCAGGTTAATGTAATGTCTTTGGTAAAATTGCGAATGAATGTTTGCTCAGTTTTCATCCATTTCGGATTAATTATTGAAAAAATCTCATGCGATATGGATAATTATAAAGAGAAAAATTTGTCTACGTTGGTAAATAATTCGTGAATTTCAGGAAATTGTTTGTTCTTTAAGGTTATCATTGTTCTCTCAATTTTCAGACTTGGTTTTCGCACAAGAATCACTTGAAGATTCAGCGGTAGTTGCGATGACATAGTTTTGTCTTGTTCAAGCTTAAGGAATTGTCGAAGACTACGTTAGATATATATTTTTACAACACAAAATTTCATACAACTTTAACCCTATAAAACAGAGAGAAGTTATTAATTTGAACACTCGGAAATGAGAAGTAAGTCGATTTTGAAATGTACGATCAAATATTTAAAAAACAATAAAAAGTTTTATATTATAAAAATATATATAAATATATATAAATAATATATATATATATATATAAATAAAAAATTTTATATCATAAAAATATATATAAATATCGTCATGAGTATTATAAAAATTAATTGCAAAGATAAATAAATAGTTCTTGCGAAAATACTGCTTAAAGACAAATCTTCCACTTCAACTTTCTTTGAGACCCTAATTTTTTAGGACTGCTTATTTAACTTTTCAGCAAGGCTATAAAAAATTTCAAATAAGTTTTACAGGTTTTGTAACTTAGTTACGAAAGTAAAAGAATTAATTAATCGCGGAGAATGTTCATTAAAGAAATTATCTTCACAAAAATTTATTTTACATACTATTATAATTATTAATAATAATATTTGTAATAATATCAACTGATTATGGACGCTTGTGATAATAATATAATCAAGACTGCTTCTCTGCGGTTACGTTGTGGTTGGTACAATGATCACACTTCAGATTCCAATCATTATAGTAATTCTGGGTTACGACAATTTTCTAAATGCAAAAATTTCCAAATTGTAACTGCATTATGCTAATGTCGCAAATTCTTAATATTCTTGCGAATATCTCTGCGACACTGAAATATTAAAGTTTGCGCGGTTATCGATAATGTAATTTTGAAGATTCATTGCTGATTCGCGCTCTAAAGCTAACGAGTGCAAAGAAAATATTCGTTCGTCAAACAAAATTAATATCGTTTCTAGAAATTATATATGCATTGTATTCTTCTTTAATTTACTTAATTTTTCTTTTTTAATTCCCTTTTTTTACATTTTTCGCATTCTTGTTTCTCTGTGTATTGTTTCATTATTTCATTTCTTTCTTTTCAACAATTCTCTAACATTTACTAGTTTATTTTCTAGTCAATTTTCTATTGTTGCATTTATTTTTTTTGTTTGTTTTGCGTTTTATATTATTTATATTTTTATTTCTGATCTATTATTTCTTCGGATTTAATTTACTTTCAACATCTCGTGTATCTTGTGCGTCTTGTTTTCCCAAGCTCTTATTATTTTTCTTCGTTTATTATATACTATTTTCTTTTTATTTCTTTATGTAATTCTATCTCAGGCAAGTTAATATTTTATTTTTAAAAATCATAGGTAAATATAACTTACGGTCTCTATGGCAATATTGCGTCCATTCGTTGTTTTGAGGATTCTCCGTGATATAGATTCGGTTACGCATGTGTCACATTTGCTTTTATCTTCTTATATGAAATATTGAAATCTCTTTCAGGGACGCGTGAACGATCCGTAGACACAGACACAAAGCCATTAAGTTCATACGTATATTGAGTTTGAAAGCATAGTGAGAAATACATATGACATACTTTTCACTGATCTCACAAGAAAGTCACAGAATTTTATTTACTTATCTACATTTATAATTTTACATAATTTTATAGACAAAATGTTAGGTAGCATAAATTGCTTTTAAAAATATATATATATCCCGAAAAAAAAATATTTTTTCAAGCAAGAGAAAAAAGTTGATTTATTTCTCGCTCTATACGTGCGAACTCGTGAATTCTTGGAAATATTCCTAACTGATTCTATGGATGCAATAAATCTGCATTCTTGACGAGTTCATTAATATAAAATGATTTTAGACTACAAACAATAAATGCTCATTTTTAAATCACTTAAATGTCATAAAACATCGAATGGCATAATGTTAAATATATGATCGCGATATTTTCGATGTCAGTAATCTTTAGAAATAAATAAAACATTCGTGAAAATAATTTCCGGAAGTGTTAGGAGTCATCAAAATACAGTAGTCTATCGAATACACATTTTGAATTCGAGGTCAGACAGTCCTTTCCTCGAATGTCTCGCCATACATATTTGAGTGGCGTCCTTGTGACTTGATTTATCCAAAAGGTGGCCGCCTTTGTAATGGAAATGTTTGCCGACATTGCTTGTCCTCGTGTTTCCGCAGAATCGCATCTCGTGTTCTCGAACTCCTGAGATTCTCACGAGATGTAAACATTCATCTCGGAGAATGCTGGATAGGCAAAAAAATGAGCAGTTTCATCCCTACAGAATTCAGACGGCAATATATATGTACAATGGCTCACGGCGGTGAGAACAACTATTCTTAGACGAAATGATGACTCATTCTAGGGTGATCCATTACACCGAAAAACAATGGGGAGTCTTAGCTTCATAAAATTAGCTTCAATTAGCAATGTGCATTAGAGAGCAAAAATTGACACAAAAACACTTCTTTTTAACAAATATTACTTTGAAATTTATTTTGAAGAATATATTACAAACTTTGTTAACCGGATTAAATATTGACAAGCATTGTTATGAAATATAATAAACACTTTTTCTCGTCGTACAGAATAATCACAATGCATCTATTATAATTTTCCGCGCTATTCAGGACTAGTTGCAAAAATTTCAGACATAAAACGCTCAACAAACATCCCCAGGTCTTATTGGCGTTATCTTTGTGGGGTGGGAATGAACGCGGTCAGCCGTGAATATCGCATGATTACGCTATGACACGTGGAATGTCTGTCATATCCGTTTGGTCGTTCGTCAATCTGGTTATCAGGTCAAAAGTTTGTCTACCACCCACATAACAATTTCGTTTTTATCTTATTCGTGGTCCACATTCACGCGTCCATGCTTTGCAGGCTAACTATGTATTACGAAATAAAAACAGCTTTTTCGCATTTAATTGCAGAATGTATAAATACTTTTTGAAAATGTCTGTTTTATTTAAATCGTAATTTCTTCTCAATTAAACGTAACAAAAAATAGATGTAGGATATTTTAAAATTGTTTACACGATCCCCGAAATTCCTGGTCATTCCACAAATCGACATTTGCCGTGCACGACGTGATGTTGACATTACAAGCGTTTTTGGCATTTCGTACCGGCGAGAAAAGGCGCTCCGCAGAGAAATGTTGGTGAAACGCCTCTTCCGATTATGCAAACCGACTCTCGATGCCGGCTCGCCGTGACACGTTTGGCGAATGGAGTCGCATCTTTTCGACAATGGGCAAACAGAGGGACGGTGGAGATTTCCGCGCGCCGAGGACCTTAATTGCGCTCGCAGCAAACATTTACATTTCAAGGGGCTTTTGCTTGCCTGTATAATGTTTGACACAGGTGCGCGCGCGGAGTAGGTCACGGACTGGTCGGAAACCGGTATAAGTACCACAAGAGGCTACTCCTTGTATATGCTCGTGTATACCCCTAATACATACATATCGTAGTGAGATACTTAGAACTCAAACAGGAGCACTCTTGTCTAACAGCGTGGGCAAGCCAAATGTAAAGCTTGGATCAAACGCGATATTTTTACTTTTTTGCACGTTTATAATATAAAGTGGAATCGTAGATTTCTCTCTCCATTTCTCTTGAACGGCGAGAATTTTTTTTAAATCGCCGAGTAGACGAGCGAATCGGACTACCATTACATGTAATTCTTTTATGATTCATATTCGAACAATGAACAATCATTTTATCGTTAATACAGTAATTTTCAATTAATTAATTCTTGATTCTCGTAAAATCACTATTAGTTTGATAATAATTACATTACTTTACAACTCGACATATGTGCTATTACTTGAGATCAATGAATCAGCCAACCAATAACAATCGATCTATAATCAATCAAGTACTGCGCAGCAATAAGCTAACTTGAGAGAACTAATAATTTAGTAACACAATATAGTCACGTAATGCCATAAGCCGTTCATTATTTTTCCATCGCTAAATTGAGCAGGAATTACGGACGCTATGTAAAAGTAGCGGACAAAAAGTAAACGTCCGCGGCAAACTACCCACGTTAAGCTGTTTTTCGCGAAAACATTTTCTTTCATCGCTAGGCACGTCCCACGCGATGGAGTTGCAGTTTTGCGCATTACACGAAACTAAGTGAAACTGGAGCACAAGCGAGTCGGCTGTAAACTACGATTAAAGTTCGAAACGCGCCGTGCCGTACGGGCGTTATCAGCAACGCCATTCGTAACAACGTAACCCTCCCTTCGTTCTATATTCTCCAGTGATAAAACGTACCCATATTATTCCCTATATTGCCACTATCTCGCGAAGACAACCTATTATGCTCCAGAAGAAATATAACTTTTCCGAGTTTCACGCATTCAACAATAATCCCGATGCCTTCAGCTGTGATCAAACCGTGATAAAACATCGACTTTGTCCGTGTGTGCTAGATATAAAATCTCTCTATCTTTCAGAAGACAGAAAGACTCAAAATTTCTTACAATTTATGATTAAATATAAATTAATTTTGTTCATAGTAATATTTGCCATCATTTTTATAAATATTATTACAATATCATTTTAAAAGAACAAATATTTTCTCACTTTTAACAAATTTCGCGTCAAGTGAAAACTGCATTAGCACACATTTTATCAAGCACCGCGGATGCATTATTCTCTTAACAAGCCTATTTGTCGCGCGGGAAATCATGTGGGAAATGGCTAGCTTGCACTAACCAGCAATTCCTATCCGGCGAGCTTCAAATTTCGTCTGGCTCTCTAGCGCGAACGATATACGTGGGGCAACGAAGCGTACACACATCCGATCGTCACGATCCCCCTCGTGGCTCTCTCGAGCATTGATTTTGCTGCGCCAATCAAGCTCGCGCCATTGCAAAGGAGACAGAACGAGATAGAACTCGGCTCACCGGATCGGAATCCAGCGGCTCGTGTAACGCCGTTGGAATCGAAAGGTAGTCGTTCGGAAAGAATTTGCGGACCCTCCTCCGCGTCCCCGTCCCGCGCGAATCCACTCTTTTTTTCAGTTTAAACTCCTCCTTTTCGTTTCGTTTCCTTTCCCTTAGCTTCCCATTCGAACGAATTGCCTTCGCGGTACGTCTGGCACTGACCGAGAGTTTCTACGTCGCGACGACCATTATCGTTCGGCGTTTCCCCTTTGTTATCTCGGATTACGCTCCGTCGCTACACATATTGCTTCGAAAACAGTGATATTCAACTAACGGTATATCAAGGGAGTTATTGTGAAACTGTTCGAAAAGGTTTCCGACCGGAATAATTCTGTTTTTTTTCTCTCTCTAGATATCCAATAGGAAAATATTCCTCTATGAAAGTTTTCTGAACAGTTTTATAACAGCTCCCCGGGTTACCGTTGATTATTTATACGCAAAGATAAAACCACGCAGATTTTGTGTCTCTAATAAATGGTTTTCCTAGAAATATTCTGTTGGATCAATTATCCGCAGAAACTTTCGAAAATTGTTGAAATAGTATTTCATATCGTCTCGGCATATTTAGAGAACTATTTTGTCGAGTCACATGCATTTTATAATACTCTTTTTACAAAATGCATTCAAGCTTTTAATTTTACTTTTTTCAGTTAACGCGAGCCTATCATTTCCCACATGATTTTCTGCACAGCTTGTTCTTTTTTTTCTTCTTTTTTTTTTT